AACTGCTTATCTCCTTTGCCATCCAATGACTTTTTATACTTTCTAAAAACCTAACTCTGTTGACCCATATGTAAAATGTACACATTTTAATTGTGTAATTTGATGAAATTTGAAAATAAATAAACCCACATAACTGCCTTCTGATCAAAATATATTTCCATCAATCCAGAAAGTGCCCCATGTCCCTTTTCATATGTTTTATGTTTCCCTTTATTTTGTTTTCCACCCAGATTCTCTCTAGTTAGGTGGTTATTGAGTCTAGGTGGTGGTGGGAAGGGTATGAGAAGAACTATGAGACATGGCCATCTTTTTGTCTCATTGAAGATCGAGACACTTGCATGGTGCCCAACACATAGTAGGCACTCAGGTTTTTGTGGGAGGTGTACTTGTTGCCAGAGCAAAGGTACTAAGCTGAGAATTACGCATCTCAGTTTTCAGTCCCGCCTCATCCACAACTGGCCATAGCTATGGCTTTGGACATGTAACTTCCCAGCTCTGGTCTTTGTTTCCTTCCTCTGTAAAGTAAAGGGAGATTGGACTGAATCACTGGTCTCCAAACTTGTTTTTAGCCTTGATCCTTTCTTTGATTACATCTTACATGGAAGCCCATCCCATAGAGAAGACCAAGACTGCTTCTCTGGTTGAAGCAGATCTTGTCTCATCCTGACAGCCTGTATTAGTGCCCCATGGCTGCTGTAACAAACGACCACAAGCCAGGTGGCTTAAAACAACAGGAATTTATTCTCTCTCGGTTTTGGAGGCCAGAAGTCCAAAATCAAGGTGTTGGCAGGGCTACGTTCTCTCTAAAGACTCTTAAGGGAGCGAATAATCGGTTCCTTGCCTCTGTGAGTTTCCGGTGGCTGCACTTCTCCTTGTGGCCACATCACTTCAGTCTCTTCCTCTACCTTCACATGGACTTCTCTGTATCTTCTCTTCTGTCTTTTATAGGACACTTGTCATTGGGTTAAATGGGTAATCCGGGATCATCTCAAGTTCCCTAAGTTAATTATACCTGCACAGACCTTTTCCAAATGAGGTCACATTCACAGGTTTTGGGGTTTGGACACAGACATATCTTTTTGGAGGCCACCATCCAACCCCCTACACAACCTTATGCGGCAGGTAGTATTGTGGTTCCCATTTAACTGACGAGTTCAGAACAGTTAGATCACTTGTCCAGCATCGCAATGTGGTGCAGCACCATGACCGGAACCCATGTGGCCTGTGTGCTTTCACCGCTGAGCTGCAGCACCTCCCTCGTGGAATCCTGGGCTCTCCAAGGAGGACACCTTAGCAGCAGATTGCACATAGGTGGGCTGCGGTCAAGCACATTGGAATGTCGAACAACCCAGTGATCTAGAGCAGTGATGCGAAGGTTCTGTGGGTGGTATAGGCTTATACTCCCATAGTCAAGGGTGTGATACCGAATGTGAGGGGCCTTATCTGGAAGGCCCCTCATTCTGAAAGAGGGGCCTTACCTGAGGGCCTTATCTTATTGGTCGGGCTCTTAGCATCAGGCACAGAGGCAGCTTGGGTTAGAGAGCTGGGCTGTGATTGGGGACACACATCCTCCCTCCTAGCTTTGTGGTTTCTCTTTCCTGCCCACCAGGGAAAGCTGCTGGCCAATTTGGCCAAGAGCCTGGGCCTTCGCTACGTGGTTTACAGCGGCCTGGAGAATATCAAGAAGCTGACGGCCGGGAGACTGGCAGCAGGCCACTTTGATGGCAAAGGGGAAGTGGAGGAATATTTCCGGGATGTCGGCGTTCCCATGACCAGTGTGAGGCTGCCCTGCTATTTCGAGAACCTCCTCTCCTTCTTCCTTCCCCAGAAAGCCCCCGATGGAAAGAGCTACTTGCTGAGTGAGTGCCCTTCCTCTTTGAGCATCTGCTCTCACTGTGTGGAGCTATGGCTGTCACAGAAAGCTATGGGCTTGTCCTCACATGATTCTGGGTCTGAGTCCTGGCTCTCACATTAGGCCTGTGACTGTGTGCAAGGCATGAAACCTTGCTGCGCTTCTGCTTCCTGCTCTATGAAATGAGCATAACACTGATTTTTGCAGGGGCAATGAGAAAATCTACCAAGATGTGGTGATTTGGTCTTTGGTGGAAAGCTCTACAGAGACAAGTGCAGTTGTTACTCCTCCTTCAAAAATAAGGAGAGGATTTGGAAGATGAGGCCCAGTTATAGATATCACAAAGTGGAAAGCACTTTCTTCTCAATGCCCATTTGCAACTCTCTAAACGGCTGGATATACTGGACCCTGGCTTGGAGGGAGGGAACCTTATACAACTTGTGTCTTGTCAGTTAGTCAGTGGATTAGAGCAGGACACTCAGGAGGCCAGAGTGGGAGGGGTGAGTGCCCTCAGTGGGCCATTGCCCCCCACTCCCATCTTGCATAAACACTGGCTTACCCTCCTTCAAGTCCTGCCCACCAATGAGCAGACTGGTCCTGGTGTTGGCACATGGGCACTGCCCTTCATACTTTGCAAAGCTAGTCAGGGACACCCCTTGTTTCCGTCTCTGAGTTGGACCATCCTCACAAGGTCCCTGGGTGATCTGAATGGGCAGTTGCGGTGGCACCTTTTTATAGGTAAGGAAAACGGCACTGCCCAAATGTTCTGGGCACCGCATCTAGACACTGCTGTCCCTCTCCATCTACACAACCACAATTTAGCAGGTGGCCATACTCTGGGCCAGGCCCTTGCCTCAGCTAGTCAAGCATCCCCGTCAGTAGAGTTGGTATTTGGAGTACCCACCCACAGGTTTCCACATCAGAAATTCAGAGTATGACCAGGTACACTCAGGCCAGTGTCTTGGGAGCAGTGGGGCCTGGGGGCACCAACCTGTTCTCAGGGGACCTTTTGAAGCCCTTTCCTTTCCTGTGCCTTGTCCCCCATCTCAGCCCTGAGAGGGGTGGGCAGATTCAGGGTTGTTCTCCCCACTCTAAGAACGGAGTAATCTGGGCTCAGGGGGTTTAAACAACATGCCAAGGGGGCAGAGCTTAACTTGAATCCTATTTTTCAACTCAGTTCCACTGCTGCTTCTGCTGACATAGACACCAGGAGGTGTCTAAGTCACACCATGTGTCTGATTAGTTGACTGAGGGAACACCAGTCTATACCCCTTGGCAAAGGGCCCATTGTCCATTCCAGGACATGTCATGTGCCAATACATCTCTCTTCCTCTCTGCCCCCCAGGCTTGCCCATGGGTGACATACCCATGGATGGCATGTCTGTCAGCGACCTGGGCCCTGTGGTACTCAGTCTGCTGAAGAGTCCAGAAGAATACATTGGCCAGAACCTTGGGCTTAGTACCTGCAGGCATACGGCAGAGGAATACGCTGCCCTGCTCTCCAAGCACACTGGGAAGGCTGTGCATGATGCCAAGGTGGGCCCCTCAGCTCCTGCTGGTCATTTCAAACCCCCAGGAGGGCTTTGTGGGTTGTAGAAAGGGGGGGATCTAGGCAAGGTAAATCAGAATTCATCACAACTGTGAACATAAATGTTGTGCGGTTCTTGTGAGCCAAGTATGGCTGCCAAGTGAAATTTCTGGCTTAGGTAGTTGACTAAGTGGGGAGGAAGGTTTCCAGGAAGAGGGGACAGTAGGGGCCAAGGCCAGGAGTGAAAATGCAGGGCTGCTGGGCTTCTCTGGGATGTGACTTGAGGGAAGGGAAGAGGGAGGAGGCCAGAGAGATAGCGCCGGCCCATGGCCTGGCTGGCTGGGCAGGAGGCCCACAGTACCCTCCTTTTACCTCTGACCCTCGGTCTTCCAGTCCAGCCCCCCAGGTTTCTTGTTTCTTGTCATTCCCATTATGAAAGTAAGACCTTCTCATTAAAGAATATCTGGGCCCTAGCCAGTTTGGCTCAGTGGTTAGTGTGTCCACCTGCAGACTGAAGGGTCCCTGGTTCGATTCTGGCCAAGGGCACGTATCTCAGTTGCAGGCTCAATCCCCAGCCCCTGGTTGGGACACATACAGGAGGCAACCCATCTATGTATCTCTCACATCGATGTTTCTCTCTCTCTCTCCCTCCCACTCTCTCTGAAAAGCAATGGAAAAAATATCCACATGTGAGGATTAAAAAAAAATCTGGGAAACTCCTAGGTGTTAAAAGACAAAAGCTTACCCATAGAGCCCCCAGACCGAAACAGAGTAATGATGGGGGCTTGGGGCCAGATAGACTCCCCCAGACTTGGATCCTGGTCCCTGCCCTTAACACCTAGCAGTGTGTGACCTGGGGCATGGTCCCTGACCCCTCTGTTTCAGTTTCCTTATCCATGAAATGGGTGTGTGAAAGGTGTCCCCTGCTCTAGCTGTTATGAGGATTGAATGGAATAGACCTGAAGCTTAGCACAGTGATGTGCACTAGAAAACAGGCACTGAGTAGCTATGTGTCACCATCTAAACAAAGAAAAGTCTGATGCAGATCGTAGAGGATTTGGGGAGCTGAGGAGTTCAGATCCAATTCAGTCGGGAAAGGGGAACAGCTTTGTTTTTTGAGCAAAACAGTGATATAAGCAGAATTCTGATTTGGAAGGAACTGAGACGTTTTCATCTCAACATCTTAAACTGACCTAGAACAGTGGTTTCCAAACTTTAATCTTTTAGAATGGTTTCAGATGGACTGAGGTACCCCCCAACCCCACCACCTCAGTGGGATGCTGAAATGTTGATGAATCCTCACAGACACCCCCCTCTGCTTCCAGATAACCCCTGAGGACTACGAGAAGCTTGGCTTCCCTGGCGCCCAGGACCTGGCCAACATGTTCCGTTTCTATGCCTTGAAACCTGACAGAGACATTGAACTGACCCAGAGGCTCAACCCCAAGGCCAGGACACTGGATCAGTGGCTGGAGCAGCACAAAGATGACTTTTCCAGGTTGTGACCCAGCCCACATCTCAATGCCACCTAGGGGGAGGGGAGGCACAGTCACAGTGGTCCTTTCTTGTGTTACAAAAAAATTATTTTTTAAATAAAGGCCATTGTTCTCACAGATGGCTTCCAAAAGAAAGCATTGTTTCTGGGACTTGGGCTGGGGTGGCAGCTGCTGGGCACTGATTCCAACAGGAGGCATCAAGTGGCGAGGAGCCCAATCCTCTCTCCATGCAGTGACAGAGTATGAGGGCAGAAGAGGCATTTGGTAACAACATTCAGGACTTAAATGCAGTTTTGTGGTTTTTTAAAATATATTTTTATTGATTTCAGAGGGAGAAGAGGGGAGAGGAAGAGAGAGAAACATCAATGATGAGAGAGTTGTCATTGATCGGCTGCCTCCTGCACACCCCCTGCTGGGGATTGAGCCCACAACCCGGGTATGTGCCCTGATTGGGAATCGAACCATGATCTCCTGGATGGTAGGTTAATGCTCAACTGCTGCTGGGCTTAAGTGCAGTTTTAAGTTTAGCCCAACAGGTGTGAGACAGCACTGTGACCACAGCCAGGGTGTGGCTCTGACCACCCTGTTCCACATTTGAAATTCACTCAAAGTGTAGACAGAGTCCAGGACACAGAAGGCTCAGCCAGGAGCTGGCACCCTGCACACACCCCCTTCACCTCCAGAAAGCTAGTGAGGTCAGTGGCGGTGTATTCCTTCTTTGAACTGAGGGCAGGAAGACTGACCCTCCTGTCCCTTTCTCCTGACCCTCCTCCTGGGCATGGCCTGCCCTGGGTGCAGCCTCAAGATGTGCATGATCTTCAAAACAGGCTGGGAAAAAACACTTGGGATGTGGCAGATCTGTGGCCATAGGTCACCATAATCGGACACTGCTGAGAAAAGGTGATGCTGCTTGCAGCAAAGGCTAAGAGTGAAAAAACCAAGAAGTAACAACCCTGCTCTGGTCAGTGTGGCTCAGAGCACTGGCCCCGTGTAACAAAGGGTTGAGGGTTCGATTCCCAGTCAAGGGCATGTACCTGGGTTGCAGGTTCAATCCCTCGCCCTGGTTGGGGTGTGTGTATGAGGCAGCCAAGCAATGTGTGTCTCTCACATCAATGTTTCTGTCTGCCTGCCCCCCCGCCCCCGCCCCTTCCACTCTCTCTCAAAATCAATGGAAAAAATATCCTCGGGTGAGGATTAACAGCAGCAACAACAAAAGTAACAACCCTGCCTTGTTTGTAACATCCACCAGGCATTTTGATGGCGGGGTGGTTCAACTTTCAAGTGAGAGGTGGTTCAACCTCTCACTTGAGAGAAAAGGAGCCAAGGTCCAGAGGATACAGGCCACTCACCCAAGTTCAATGGCCCAAGGTTCCATGGCAGGCTAATCTTCTGTGGATCTGTGTAACTTCCATCACGGCCCTTTTGACTACCCTTCGTATCGGCAGACTCATGGAAAGGGGTGGCAGTTCTACCAAATTCATCCCATCTGTTTATTAATTTAAAAAGCATTTCTTTGACAACTTATTAAATACAGTGTTAACTAAAAAAGTTATGCACCTGCCTAGCCAGGTGTGGCTCAGCTGTTGAGCGTCGGCCTGGGATCCAGGAGATCGAGGTTCGATTCCTGGTCAGGGCACATGCCCATGCCCAGGTTGCGGGCTCAGTCCCCAGTGAGGGGCGTGCAGGAGGCAGCTGATCAATGACCCTCTCTCATCATTGATGTTTCAACTCTTTCTCTTCCTCTCTCTTCCTCTCGCTGAAATCAATAAAGATATATATAAAAAAAAAAAATTACGCTCCCTGCCTTGAGATTAGTAGGAGAACCAGATACAAATATGCAATGAATAATTACAAGTTGAGAACAAGTATAACAAGTGGAGGAGCCCACTTCAATAGGGATAGGGAAAGCCTCTGAGGTCTGAGGGGAGGACAGTGAGCCTCTGAGGCAGGGTAGAAGGGAAAAGACTACAATAGCCTGGGATTCCAAGCCACCTGGGCCAGCAAAAGAGCGTGAGAGGTTATTTGTGTCCAGCCCTATATGATGCCCAAGTTCCCCATGCCTCTGGGTGGGAAACTCACCTGTTGGAGGCTGTAACTCATTGTGCTGAGATCCTGGAGTGGCAGGCATCAGTACAGAGCCTGGGAAGAGCCGCTGTGCTCCGGTTTAGAGTGAAACAACCAAACTTTGGTGAGCTGACATCAGACTCCAGGCACTCAACTACAAGCGGCAGGACCTGGGTGCACTGCCGAGGCCCTCTGCTCTATTTGCTCATCTGGTGCTGCCTGGCTGGGTTGTGAGGGCACCGTGAGGGCACTTGTGCAAGGACTGTCTGACACCCCCAATCACCTCCCTCATAACACATGCAGTCAAAACCCCTCCGAGCCTCTAGTGCCCTTCGGCTTGTTTCTGTCCCTCTAATAGCAGGCACCCACCAGCCCCCATCCCAGGTGTGGCCAAAGCAGCTGACTGAGGTGTGAACAGCACATGTCCCAAATCCAGTGAAGTGAACAGAACCACGCATAATTCTGGATTCCCGTGTGCTATCCACACCGCACACAAAACCCAAATCCTAGGCAATGAAACTACTCTGTGTGACATAACAGTGGTAGATTCGTGTCATTTATACACTTGTCTAAAGCCACAAAATGTACACCACCAAGAGTGAACCTCATGTAAACCATGGTCCTGGGCGATTATAATGTATCAACATAGATTCAACAGTTATATCAATTATACCACTCTGTTGATAATGGGGGGAGGCGGTGTGTATGCCTGTGGGGCCGTGGGTATAAAGTCTATTAAAAAACAAAAATCCTAGTATTTTAAACCATTTGACCTGTAAAAGACATTTGTGTCCATCTGATTACCTTGTCTCTTGATAATAACCAAATGTGGCTGGAAAGGAAGACCCTTTGCCCACCCTGGATGTTGAAATCAGGTGCCCTTCCTGGCCCAAGTGGTCCTGCCCAACTTCAAATCACTACAGTAAGAAAGCACAGGGGGGTCATGCCACATGGAGGGGATGGATCCCAGTGCCACCACGTTGTCCTATTAGCTGAGGTGTTCCCAGCACAAATCCTAATCAGGAAGACTATGTGTGCTTTGTCTTCTGAAATTTGGTCCCTGAAATACACTGGCTGACATCATTTATTTTCTATTTTGTTAGCTATGGTAAAATATACATAACATAAAACTTACTATTTTAGCCATTTAAAAAATATTTTTATTGATTTTGAGACAGAAAGAGAGAGGGAGAAACATCTATGTGAGATGGGAACATCAATTGGCTGCCTCCTGCATGGCCTCTACCAGGGATTGAGCCCACAATCTGGGTATGTGCCCTGACTAGGAATCAAACCAGCAACCTTTTGGTGCACGGGATGGGCCCAACCAACTAAGCCACACCAGCCAGGGTTATTTTAGTCATTCTTAAGTATACAGCTCAATGGCATTAAGTACATTTCTTGTACAACCATCACCATCATCCATCTCCAGAACTTTCTCACCATCCCATACTGAAACTCTGTACCCATTAAACTTCTTTATTCACTTATTTAAACAATCTTTTATTTATCTATTTAATCCTCTCACCCAAGGATATTTTTTCCATTCCTTTTCAGAGAAAGTGGAAGGGAGAAACATCGATGTGAGAGAGAGACATTGATTGGTTGGTTCCTGCACCCATCCCAACTGGGGCAGGGATTGAGCCTGTAACCGAGGTACTTGCCATTAGCTGGAATCGAACCCGGGACCCTTCAGCCTTAGGGCTGACACTGTAACCACTGAGCCAAACTAGCTAGGGCTGTACCCATTAAACTTTAACATGAGGTAACTCTCAACCTAGCCGGTTTGGCTCAGTGGCTAGAGCGTCAGCCCACAGACTGAAGGGTCCCAGGGTTCCATTCCGGCCAAGGGCACGTACCTCGGTTGCACAGGCTGTGTGCAGGAGGCAACCAATTGATGTGTCTCACATTGATGTTTCTCTCTCTCTCTCTGCCCCTTCCACTCTCTCTGAAAAGCAGTGGAAAAAAATATCCTTGGGGAGGATTAAAAAAAAAATGAGGTAACTTTCCACATAAAAAATCCAGATGCCACCCTGGCCAGGTGGCTCAGTTTATTGGAGCATCGCCCCATACACCAAAAAAGGGCAGGTTTAACTCCTGATCAGGTCAAATACCCGGGTTTCAGGTTTGGTCCCTGTTCAGGGGCGTGGTATGTACAAGAGGCAACTGATCAATGTTTCTCTCTCTCCCCCCCTCCTTCCTCTAAAATTCAATTTTTAAAAAATCTATTAAAAAAACCCTGGGCCTGGCTGGCGTGGCTCGGCGGTTGAGCACTGACCTAGGATCCAGGAGATCACAGTTCGATTCCATCAGGGCACATGCCTGGGTTGCAGGCTTTATCTCCAGTGGTGGGCATGCAAGAGGCAGCTGATCAATGATTCTCTCTCACCACTTATGTTTCTATCTCTCTCTTCCTCTCCCTCCCTCTCTGAAATCAATAAAAATATGTTTTTTTTAAAAACCTGGATGCCCAGCTTCTCTTGGGAAGTACTATGAAATACTGCAGCACTGGGTCTGAATTCCTGCATAGTCCCATGCCCTGCCTTGGGCAGAGCCGAAGAGTGGCTGTCCCCTTTAAACAGGGCAGCCACAGTCTCCACCACTGCCTACTGTCTCCCGGGCACTGAAGCTGCAGGTCAGGGCCCACTTTGTTTCTTTTTTTAATTAATCCTCATTGGAGGATATTTTTCCATTGATTTTTAGAGAGAGTGGAAGGAAAAGGAGGAAGGGGAGGAGAAAGAGACAGAGAGAGAGAGAGGGAGAGAGAAACATATATGTAAAAGACTCATTGGTTGCCTCCCACATGCACATGCACCCTGACCCGGGTTGGGGATTGAACCTGCAACCCAGGTGCCCAGGCTGACGCTCTAACCAGTGAGCCACACCAGACAGGCCCCACTTTCTTTCTTTATGTAAAGATCCTTGACTGGCCCATGTGTGACCTTTCACAAGGATCATGCCAAATAAGCAAAACTGGTTAAAAGATATAAAGTTCAGGCTTCACAGTGTTTATTAACAAGAGTGCTACATGCCTTCTGCTAAAGCCATGACTACTGATGGAACTCGGTATTCAGTGATGGGCTCCAATACTACAGAACAGAGTAAAGGACAGTCCCTGGATGTAGGAGCAGCCTAGAGGCTTGTGGGACAAGAGGGATTCTTGTAATTGAGGGGGGTTTTCATGACAGGGAAGTAATGCTGCACTCAACTCCACCAGAACCCACAGGCCTGAGGATGGTTCAAGTGGGAAAACAAATCAGAACAAAGGCCTGCAGGTGGGGATGGAGACAAGGTTCAGTGCCCAAGTCTGCCTCATCCCCATGTGGCGGTGCCTTCCTGCATCTAACCCCCTAATATTTCAGCAAATGCTCCATCTTAGCATCCGTCTCCCTCTCCCCTCCTCTCAATCCGGGCCTAGAGATACTTTTGTTGTATATTTAAATGCCTCATCTCACGCTCCGGCCCAACTCAGGCTGCAAAGTTGTCTGGTGACAAATGCCTCAGGAGCCAACTGTGGGAATAAGCCCAGTCCAAGCCTTGAGTGGGACTTCACACTAGGTTTGCAATGCCACCTTCCAACATCTGCGGGAAGGACCCTCAGTGCTGCAGTAATGGTGTTGCTAGCAAGAAAGCTCACTTTTCTCTTCCCAAGTCTTCCTTTAGACTTCTACTTTTCAAAAGACAGGACATGAGTGGGACTCGGCTGACTTCTCCAGAAGAAAAACTAAGCTGTCAGGAGATGCTCCACCTAGCTTCCTGCTGCTGTGCCTGGGTCTAGGATCCTGAGGGGGCCACAGCAGGCACTCAATAAACATCTGCTGAATGAAGGACAAGTATCTGAAACTGGCAGGAGGTCACTGCTGAGCCCCTTTCTTGCCCATCAGATCTTTCCCATCCTCTTCATCCAACCCAGCAAGTGTACTCACACCTCAAGCTGCTCAGCTCAGAACCGGGGGCCCTTCCAGCTGTACCAGCATTGGGTCTTTTGAGAGACAGTCTCCACTGGGAGCTCAGACTAGACAAACTACAATGAGCAAAAATTTTAACACAAAAAAATATGTTAATATTCCTCCGAATATAATGGAGGGAAAAATAAATCTAGCAAGGGAGACAGTGATGTAGGAGGGTACACTGCACATGTGTCATGGCACGGGCTCCCAAAAAAGAAGCCACGCACCAAATTCTAGAACATTCATTCAAATCAGTACGTTGTCCCATGGCAAGCTCTGGGATCTGGGCTTGACAGCACTGGCGCTTGTCAAAGCACTACCCATCCATCAGCCTGAGTGTGCTCTTAGGCAGGCATGACTCTGTGGACAAGGTCAGCCACCTCTGCAGCCGGCTCCAGGAAGGCCAGCAGAAAAGTGGGGCAGCCTGATCTGCAGATGAACACCGTATAGGCCCCTGCTAAGCTACCTGCAGAAAGCTCCTTGAACTCTTTCAAAGAAGAAGTGACCACAATGTAGGTATTAAATATCTTTTTGCAGTAGATAATCTTTTACATTGATACAGAATCATCTTACATTCGTAGATCAGATACTAATAGTTGCTTTATTTTAGTAAATCATGTAGGAAAACAAAAAGGAAACTATTCAGAAGTGTCCTCCATTAGCCTGTCTTACCACACAGGAGGATCTGGAAACATGGAATCTACACATCCTAGAAGCTGAGGTTGGGGAAACTATTTTGCTCTGGCTGGATGGTGGAGAGCCTTCAACTGCTTAGACTGTGCTTTCCTTTTATGAACAAACATTATATAGGAAAAGACAATGATTCTTAGCATTAAATAATTTAAAACACTTCTGAAAACAGGTGTCACCAGTTTAAGTGGTGAGAACCAAGCTGTAGCAGGCAGTAGGGGTAAGGCTCTGGGATAAGGAGGCCATTAGCCAGGCTGTGGTCCAGCAGAAGGGCAGGCGTCCACTCACACCTGGCTTCAAACAACAGAACTCAACAGTCATGGACAAGAGGCCACCCCGGTGGGGTGGGAGGGAGGACTATCAGTTCTGACAAAGATCACAGCCCAAATCAGGAGTAGCATCTCCAGGGACCCTCTTTGTGTGTACCTCCCCAGGCCGCAAGGCCCCCACGTTCCAGCTGCTTGGTACCCTTGGAAATTAAACTCCAAGAAGAGCAATGACACCTCTACTAAGGGGTGGACAACATGGGGGGCTTGCAGGCTGCAAGTTCCTGGAAAAGACAATCTGTCAGGAAAGACTCATTCCAGAACCTCCTGGAGGTTTGATGAGAGGGAAATTAATCACTTCACAACTTGGTGCAGCTTCAGGCTTCATTTTTAAGCTGTAAGCATGGCCTTTAATTCTTTACTAAGATTTCCACCACATTTGATTCCAAATTAGAGTTTTGGCTCTTCAAGAAGTGTCCAGATGTCTTACTCTGTCTGGGCCAGAAGAGGCTGAGTTACACCCATGGAACAAGAACTACTACCAGCCCTTAGGCGTGCCACGCCTTACTGCCCAGGGGCTGTCCTCCATGACCATTCTGTGGAGAGGTGTGTTGTCACATGATTTTGCTGTTGCCAAGGCGGTCCAGAGGGCCTCTGCAGGCAGGGCACGATGCTGCTGTTCTGGAATCCTCCTGTCTCCAAGGTGCCCTGGCCACGAGGAGAAGCCACTGCTCCCCACCTAGTTTCCAGTGGACCGTTTTCCTGAGCCAAGACACAAATGGTTACAGTTTACTGGCATTGCACAGAACACTCCTGTGGGTGAGCCTCTATCATCCCTGGGAAAGAGCTATGCCAGCAGCCCCAGCCGCTAGGAACCCGCACAAGTAAAAAGTCAGTTCCGAGAACTCAGTTTCCAAGCACAACTCCTGGCAGCCCCTGGAGGTTGCATAGCCCTACATCCACAGGCAGGACAGGCGCTATGAAACAGGCAGGGAGTTGGGAAGATCTGAGTTCTAAGCCTGGCTCCACTATGACTCACCCTCTGTGACTGTGGGCAACATGGTTACCACCACTGTGGGATGCAGCGCTCTGGGAGGTGGTGTGGGGAGGGCTGGGAAGGCAGCCCCTAGTGAAGCCTCTCCCCATGGTCTGGTTCAGCCCTGCATTTCCATTGACTCTGCCATGTTACCTAATGCGGGTGTCTGCACGGGTCAAGAGGCTCGGCTCCAAGGGGAGCCAGATACACTACGCCTGAAACTAGTACCTCTTCGAACTCCGGGGCAGTGGAACATGAAATTGGTTAAAGTAAGGGAAAACAGGGATTAGTTCAGAGAGGGAAACAAAGGAGAGAAACCTCAAGGGTTTTCCTACCTCGGCTGGGTATCAGGAGGTAAACATTTTCTTAAGTTTGGAAAGGAATCCCTCCTTGTCCTCCCCAGCCTCAGGCCTAGCCTTGCCTCCTGCGGAGCTATCCATGGTGCTGCCACCTGGGCACAAACAGCAGAAAAAACTGGGGTCAAGGGCGTACACCTCCAGGCGTCCCACCCCAGGCCCCACCTACCCCCACCTGGTCACCCAAGAGCTCCACAATCAGGGAACCACCAAGCACCACCCTGAGAGGAGAGGGGGCAGCTCCCAGGTTAGCCAAGGCTGCCTTGCCTTTTCAGATGACTGAAGCAAACAGGCCACTCAGTACTTCAGTGGATCCCAACTGCTCCCCGAGTCACTGGCCCGCAAGAGGGAAATAATAAACAGCCAGACAATAACCAGCTGTCTCCATCTTAACAACTGTGACAAAAATATAGCCCAGTGCCAGATGCCTTCCTGGCCAGGCCACAAAGCTTCAACATTAGCTCATTTAATCCCTAGGATAACCTTATAGGTAAATTTCAGATGCACACACACACACACACACACACACAAAGAAATGAGTCACAGAGAAGTCAGGTGGTTTGCCCTAGATCACAGAGTAAATGGGAGGGTGAACTAAGTTCAAACCCAAGCAGTTGGGACTCCAAAGCCCAGGCTCTTAACCACCATGCAGTTGGCTCTAAGAAAGTGAAGAACAATGCCAAGACCAACCAACCAGCTTCCACACTCCACACATGCACACATCTTTGGGATACTCAGGGAAGGACTCATTGCCTCTCAGAATTCCAGGACATATGCACTTCTTATCTGTAACAACAGCAGTGGAGGACTCTGTATGTCACTGGGCAGATCTCCCCATTTGGGCACATATAACCATAAATGCTCCAGAAAAAGGGAGGCTGTTCCCTGTTTCTTTAGGGGCCAGACTGAGACTAACGAGAGTAACTCTGCTGTACAAATGCATCATTTTAAAGATCTACCAACCACTAGGCAGGGAGGGCAAACTTTTGTTATGAGTTAGATTACAGACCTGTACTAAACATTTTTAACTGTAGGGCACATTTTTAACATGCTAGATGTATGCCAAGCACAGTGCACAGGAGAAGAAAAAACAGTCATGGTCCCCAAGATCACAGACTAAGACACTTTCCTCAATGAGAAGCCCAAGGCAACAGGCCCCCCAGCAGAGGTGGGCAAGATTGTCCTAGGTCCAGCCCCGTTGGCAGTCCTCTGGATTGGCATGCTCTCACAGCTCAGGAATGTCCTCAGAGAGACAGCGGTGGCCCTGAACAAGGATGTACTAACAGAAGTCTGAGCAATCACCAAAGCCAAAGCAGCAGGGTGACCCTGATTCCCAGGGCCCCCAGCTGAGGACCTAGGCACTGCACAATTGGCAGAGGAAGCCCCTGTGAGAGGTGCCCACTGCCATGTGTACCCTCCCTCAGTCTTTCATATTGTCTTTTTCTTTTTCAATCCTCACCCAAGGATATTTTTCCCACTGCTTTTCAGAGTGAGTGGAAAGGGGAGAGAAAGAGAAACATCAAAGTGAGAGAAACACATCGACTGGTTGCCTCCAGCACACACCCTGACCAGGGCCGGGGATCAAGCCTACAACCAAGGTACGTGCACATGGCCAAAATCAAACCTGGGGCCCTTTAGTCTGTGGGCCGATGCTCTAACCACTGTGCCAAACCGGCTAGGGCCTCTTTTTTTTTTTTTTAAATATGTTTTTATTTATTTCAGAGAGAGGAAAGGACAGGGATAGAAACATCAATGATGAGTCATTAATTGGCTGCCTCCGGCACGCCCCCTACTGGGAATCAAGCCTGCAGCCTGGGCATGTGCCCTGACCAGGAATTGAACCGTGACCTCCTGGTTCATAGGTCAACGCTCAACCATTGAGCAATGCTAGTCGGGCTTATATCCCCTTTTCTTACATAAAGACTTAACAAAAAGGATTCTCAAAAGGATCCATGAATCAGAAATTTCCCATTACTCCTGAACCTCCTACAACAAGGGAGAGCAAAAGTATTGGATTTCATTATCCCCTCAATAAGGAGATAGCAAATCTTCATGTGTTTGTGTGTGTGAGTATATGAGAGTTTGCATGTGTCACAGCAGATTTACCACTGAGGGAGCTTTTAACATGTGCCACATACCGTGCCAAATGCTTTAAATGTGATCTCATTTAATCATGTGGAACCCTATGAAGTAGGTGCTACTATTTTCCCCAATTTACAGATGAGGAAACTGAGGCTCTGAGAGGTGAAGTAATTTGCCTAGGTTTCACTGCTAACAATGGCAGAGCTGGGTCATGAATCTTCTCACATCAGAACCCAAGCTCTCACCTACTAGTCCCAACGGGGCACAAAAACATTCAGTGACTGCTGACACCTCCTCCCCCAACTCTGCTGTCCTCATCACCTCAAGGAATGGTACGAAGTAGTTATGCCCCATGGCCACGGAAGTATTTGAGCCATAGTGGCCAATCTGGGAGAGACAGAATAAGCACCCACCGGGTTAGCTGGTTAATTATTCACAACAAAAAACAGAAATGCACCTAGTCATGCTCCTCATTCCATACTACCAGGAACACACTCTTACCTCTTTCTATTTTAAATCTGGCTAAAAGAGGTATGGTATGGGTTCCTTCAGAAGTATTTACTGGCCAGGACATCAAAAGGATATAAGCACTTAACTTAGAATTCTAACCCAAACATTAGGAATAAAGTGTGAGCCTCTGCACACAGTTGACAGTCTATAAATACACGGCTCTTCTCTCTCTCTCGGTCCTGATTTCTCTGAAGACTAGCCTGGGGTAGGAGGAGCAACATGTCCTTATAGGATGCCCTGGGTACTCAGGTGCCTTCTGGTCTCATTACAAGATACAAATACAGTGTTGTACTTCCAAAGCTGCTTTTAATAAAGCTGGTACACGATTTTTGCACTTTAGAATAGGAAATGCCCCATGGTGGAAGTCCATCCCAGCCAAATAGGCATTTCTAGTTTGCACTTTCAGAAGGTGGGGCTGCTCAGCCTACCATAGACAGAGGTCGAACCCGACACCAAAGGACTCCTCTATCAGACCACAACCCGATTTTCCTGAGAAGGGTTATGTTTCTCTCTCTCCCTCAGAGTGTTTCCCAGCTGACGGTTAGGAAAATTAATTCAAAACTATTCAGCCAATATTTACCACTAACCAGCCTTGGGCTAGGTGCTATGCAAGGTGCTAGGGGTTCAAAGATGAAACACTGTAGTTACTACAGGCAGGGATTCCAAGTCAGAACTGTCTGATGGCTGTTTACACGGTGATGCCAAGGGAAGATTAACCAGATAACATTTATTCTGTGAACCTGTACCACCTTTTTGTGTCAAACTCCTAGTGTTACAAGAAAGGTCTAGCATTTATTTGGGGATTCAATGCTTGTTCTGTCTTCCCCTATTATACTGTAGGTGGATGAGGGCAGAGATCCTGCCTCTCTATGTGTCACTTCTTAGCACACAGAAAATGCTAAAGGAACATCTGTTTGAAGAAACAGAGGCAAACAGTACTCCAGGATCTGACTTCTGAGGACTGGACTCACCCCACAGGGAGAACTGACTCCCTGAGCCATCTATACACACAGGTTGAGCCAGCAGAGTGCCTCTCATTCTGCTAACATGTCTTTTCCCTCACCTTCTCTTGCCTCTGCCCTGTTTAAAGGGGGTCTATGGTCAACACTGTCAGCCATATGAGAGAAGCGAAACAGCAAGTGGAATTCCCAAATGATGAACTCAGGGACAGGTTTCTATAGCTAAGTGTATGTTGTCAGAAGAATTAATGATGATCCAGAAACAAACTGAGCCATACTATGTCAGTAACTCAAAAAGTCATGCAGTAATCTCAGAGTGCCCCAATACCCTGTGTCTTTCTGCTTAAGCACTAAAGAGTCCCTAAGCAGACTATAGTCTTTGTTCAGACTGGGAAAGAAGCTAGGGTCAGCCATTAAAGGTTTTCAGCAGCCGCATGAGGGAACAAAAATAAACAAAGGATACTAAACCCACCAAAAACTTTAGGTCAATTTCTACATAATTGTGTCTATTTCAAATGCCTTCCAGGTACTCTTTCCCATAATTAAAGCAAAGACACTCAGGAATCAATCTGTATCTACAATGACTCTCCTGGGTCTCTAATGACTCTCTTAACTCACATGTACAGTACTTTGAGACTACTGCAAAAAGTACGCCTTATCCCAAGAACCACTGATAACTGAACGCAACTGCTTCTAGTATGACTTTAGTTAATACCTTTTGTTAAATGCTTGAAATAAAAGAGATTGAGGCTCTACTTACATAAACAGGACTTACTGTTAGTGAGGTTGTCAGGAAATGGGAATTATATGTACTGTCATATTTTCCTACGGGGATTGCAAAAGTAACTTTCTTCACAGTGTAAAGGGAGGCTTAACTATACCCAGGCAGCAGGCTGATAGTGCATTCTTTGAAGCCAATTCTAAGATTCCTTTTTTTAAAATAGTTTATTGGCCCAGCCAGGCATGGCTCAGTTGTTGAGCATTGACCTAGGATCCAGGAGATCGAGGTTCGATTCCCAGTCAGGGCACATGCAGGGTTGCAGGCTCAATCCCCAGTCGGGGGGGTGCAGGATGCAACCGATCAATGACGACTCTCTCATCATTAATGTTTCTATCTCTCTCTCTCTCTCTCCCTTCCTCTCTCTGAAATCAATAAAGATATATATTTTTAAAAAAGAATAGTTTATTGATTTTTTAAAGAGAGGAAAGGAGAAGAGAGAAACATTGATGTGAGAGTGTAACACTGACCAGCTGCCTCATACACTACCCCTACCAGAAATCAAGCCTGCAACCTGGGCATGTGCCCTGACCAGGAACTGAACCAGCAACCCTTCGGTGCACAGGACAACGCCCAACCAACAGCCACACCGGCCAGGGCCCAATTCTAAGATTTTTTTTTTTTTTTTTTTTTAATTGCTTTTCAGAGAGAGCAGAAGGGAGGGAGAGAGTGAGAGAAACATAGATGTGAGAAAGACACATCGACTGGTTGCCTCCCGCACGTGCCTCAACTGGGGCTGGGGATCGAGCCTGTAACTGAGGCACGTGCCCTTGGATGGACTCAAACCTGGGACCCTTCAGTCTACAGGCCAACACTCTAACCACTGAGCCAAACAGGCTAGGGACCCAATTCTAAGATACTTAAATGGCATTTATGCCCTGAACAAGTAGCTCAGTTAATTAGAGCAGTGTCCTGATAGGCCAAGGTAGTGGGTTTGATCCTGGGTCAGGGCACATAAAAAGCAACCACCAATTAATGCATAAACAAGTAGAACAACAAATCGATGTTTCTCTTTCTCTCTCTTTCTCCCTTTCTCTCTAAAATTAATCAGTCAATAAATAAATAAGTAAATAAAAATTTATGTCTGGGAGCCAAATTTCCCATTGGAATACAACTCTGAAATGATAATGGGAATAGAAAAGATATATAGTTTGGCATAGGCATTTCACTTTATAAACAACTTTTCGGAAGTGCATCCAATGCATATATTAAAGTTAAGCTATACTCAGTAAAACTATGGCAATAAAAAAAATTGTTGTTTTAAATCCTCATACAAAGATATGTTTTTTATTGATTCTACAGAGAGAGGAAGGGAAATGTCAATGTGAGAGAGAAACATCAATCTGTTGCTTCACACATGTACCCCAACCAGGGATAGAACCTGCAACCTGGGTATGTGCTCTGACTGGGAATCAAACCCGAGACCTTCCATGACAATGTTCTAACCACTGATCTACATTGGCCAGGGCAATATAAATTTTAAAGGAAGAACTAGCAAAGTATCAGGCACACAGGAAGCTCCCAATAAATCCTGGCTGAATGAGAGAAGAGGAAATTAGCTATCAGGACAAGGAGCCATGAAAATAATGAGGGTTCTGAGGACACTAAGAAGCTGACTATATGACTAACTCTCAATTTAAACTATCAGAAAGGGGTTTAAAACAACAACTGGTGACTACTAATACCCAGATTCTAATAGAGTGAAAAAGGCCCATGTCCTTGTGTAGGGCTCAGTTCAAGAGACCCCAAGTTCCAGGTGGGTGGGGAAAGGAAGAGGACAGCTGAGAGCTGCCTGCACAACAATCTCACATGCTACATGACTGTGGTAACATTTAAGATTCAGAAAGGAGAAGCTGGAAGTGCACATGAGAGTTACATGGAATAACTATTCCCATTATTTCCACTTCTTTTTTGTTCAAGGGTATAACAAGAAAATAAGGGAAAAGTATATGTATGTACCAAACCATTTAAAACAAGTAGCTCATCCATGCTTGGTTAGGCCACAGACAGGACTTGTGGTGGCTACTTTTTCACAGAGAACTTGGTCTCCTGGACTCAATAGGATTTCAGCAAAGTCCATGCAAAGGCTGCTGCTGCTGCTGCTGCTGCTGTTGCTGGGACACCCCTCCCTGCTGGGTTGGATGGGGAGTGGGAATCCAAGACCAAGCTCTCCACTTCATTGGGAAATCCACCCCCTGATCCAATCACCTGCACTGAATGACCATATACTAATCTAAAACTATTCAAGTTCTGAAAACACATGAGGACCATCTAGGACCCAGACAAAAACAAAATGATGCAACAAACATGTTGTGCAGCTAAAGACAATTACACTCTCAGCACAGCCTGTCCTGACCCAGAAGTCATCCAATCAGCAAAGAACCAGCATCTCCACAGCAAAGCAACACCCTCCCATGGGAATAGGGCTGTGGCCGAGGTTTCCCATCACCAAAGCTTTTGCACAAAAGCATTTTGGTATCAAATATCATTAATATTTAACTACACTCTGTAGAGAGAGCATGACATTTGAGCTCAGGATAACTAAGGCACCTGTTCATTGCCAGAGGAATTCAAAGTTAGACCTATGGGGAATAGGAAGATTTGGAGTCATGTGACCATGGTTTTTATTGATGTGGAAGATGTTTACCAGACACTGCAATCTTGGTGAAGTGTTCTGGGTCAGAAATACATAAAGCCTTTCAATCCATCTTCTTAAGCTGTTACAAGAAACTCTCATGGGGTGGTGTGCCCAAGGTCACAAGGCAAGTGGCAGAACCAAGGATAGAACTCAGAAGAGCAGCTCTCTGTGACACAGGGCTGCTATCTGGCAGGGTGCAATCCAGTACTCTCTAACACAGAGAAAGGAAGAGCTGTGCTCTGCAGTAACTTGGCTGTTCTGAGCCCTCAGCTCCCCTCTTTCTACTGTGCTCTCTGGAGGCTCCATGCAGATCCCCAAGTGGAAACCACAACATGCTTCTGACAGACTGAAAGGATGCCCATGTGCTGTAGTGCGACCTTACCAGTGCTTGTGTTGGTGACGCCATTCACTGTCCCCTCCACGTCAGTCTCATCTTCAGCATAACTCAGGATCAGGCTGTGTTGCCGGCTTGTCAGTCTCCTGTGGAGTGAGCATAGTCAGTGTCAAGTGTCTCTTCTGGGCAGCTCTTTAAAGGACAAGGCCTGGGCCAGTGTGAGAAATGTGGGACCCCTGGCCCAGACAGAGCGTACAACTTGACCTAAAAAGCCACATCCTCAAAGCTTCTGGAAAGAATCTCCTAAAATACCCTAAGTTGTTTTAGCACTGTGGCTGTGCTAAATAGTTTACTGGGGTGGGAGGGAGCTTTTATGAGTGTGTGTGTGTGTGTGTGTGTGTGTGTGTAGGAAATTAAAAGGAGTGCTGGAAACCCAGCTCTCCCAAACAGATTTGGCATGCCTGTTCTAGTTGCGCACAGCATTCTGCTTGGACCTTTCTCCCAGAGGACACAGACATCTTGTGCCAGGATTATATATCTGTCTCTTCCACCAGAATGTGAGCACCCTGAGAGCAATAATAATAATAAACACAACAGCAGTAACAGCTAAGCATTCCCTATGTATTATTTATTTAATTCTCCAAATTAAGGGGGTTAACCTTTTTCATTATGTCCACTCTGCACATGGAAAACTGGGGCAGGACACATTGATTTAAAGAAGAAAACTCCCTAAGCCCCAGCATTTTCATCAGCAGAGCCACAATGGGACCAGGTGGTCTGGTGGTGTTAAACCATCACACTGCCACATTCATCATAGGACCTGGCAGGTAAAAAGACCTCAACTGGCCCGACTGATGGTGTAAGTGTGTAGGGATCCAGTGGGCCTTGCCGTGGCTAAGTGGGAGCTTACTTTGGAACTCTTATCTTCACGTGAATGTAGTGATCTCCGTAGCCATAACTGTTAATCCGGGGGATGCCTTTCCCACTCATCCGAATCTTCTGGTCTGTCTGGATCCCAGGGGGGATCTGTAAGGAAAGGAAACCTGTGGTTTTCCTTGGTCTCCAGTTGCCCATTTGGGTTTCTAGATAGCCCACCGACAACCACATGAAAACTGGCTAAGCTGGGGTCCACCCTGAGCAGAGCCAGTAACAAAGATGTAGCGGCAGGTACTTTGGGGAGGTGAGCCAAGGGAAGGAGCACAGAGAGCCAGGCCTGAAATGAGGCAAAGCCAACACAGGGATGTGTTGCTGAGGCTGCTCCTTGGCCCAGCAAAGGAGGGAATGAGACTCAGGAATTGCTGTCCCTTGTGATGACACACTCAAGGCCCAGTTTGTTACTCAAACTCAAGGAATGGCCAGACATTCCTCCTGCCTCCTCTAAATCTCATTTCCCCTGAATCCCTGACATGTTGGTTGTTTACAGGTTCTAGCCACTTGTCAGCCATTTTTCATTTCAGAGGGGGAAAAAAAAAAAGCAAACAATGAAGTAGGAGGGTAGCAAAGACAATCTTGCCCTCTTACCGTCACGTTGATTGTCTCATACAGGCCCTGTGCTCTGGCTGTCCCCCCAAGAATAGCCTGAGCTATAGAAATAAAGAGGTCGGAGTGGATGTCTGCACCGTCCCTCCGGAACACTGGGCTTTTCTCTACCTAGGGCCAAATACAAGAGATCGGTATTACACACAGAGAGGTCTTCTGGAAACTGGAAATCAGTCCCTTTCAGCAGCTGGAGCTCAGGGCCTAACACACGTTACTCTGCTTCTATGCTTGCAGCATAGCACTGAGGAAGAGAGCGTACTTTCACCAAAGTGAAACACTACACCAGGTTATATGTCAGATTCACTTCTATAGTGCAATACGAACGTGCCTAGATTGCCTCAGGCTCAGATCAAGCCATTCAATTATGAACAGAAATATAGTATAATTGGCTTTTTGAACATTTAAAATTTTTTTTACTTTACTAGAAAGTACAGAGGAACACAGACTAATATATCTACAAAGGCAAAAATGGTTTTCCAAATTGTCATTTGGTACAAACTACCTTCAAGACAGTCTGACAACACTAAAATGATTTTGATTTTATAAGCACTGTTTGTTTTGTCTCAAAGTCATTCCTTGCATTCTAGTAATTTCTTCTCTCTCAATTTTTTCTTCTCTGTTATTAGAAAGGAACAGAAGCTGAATTCTTTACCAAACTTTTCTTATCAATTGGCTTCCAGCTTGCTTTGTCTTGGATTTCTCAGTCTAGAATATTCACCCTTTAGATTATTTTGTCTGTTTTAAATTATGAAATACTTCACATGTATATAAACTGCAAAGTAAATAATATAACGCTACAAATGAGATGTTATGAATGCAGGTGAAGTCCTCCTGCTTCCTTCTCACCGTCCCCCCCAGGGTTAACTACATTGCTGAATTTAGAATTTATCATTCCTACAAGCATCTTTTAACTTATACTACATTTTTGCATGTCCTTAAGTAATATATAACATCAACTCAAGTGGTTTAAAAGATTATATAAATTATATTCCTTGCATCCTCTTGCACTGTTCTTTCCCTCCTCTTAGTAACTAAGAAGTCTCGTTACACATGGTCATTTCTTCCTTCTGACTGCTCTGTGGTCCTCTGCAACTACAGCACAGTTCACCCACCATTCTCTTCTCCAAGGACAACAAGTTGTTGTCAATGTCTTGCTACTATGAACAAGGCTATCACACCTTGTGCCTCTGCCTACTGCATCTGTGTGGGCTTTTCTCAGGTATCTATCTGCTGGAATTGCCTCTAGAAGCCCCTATCTCCTTTAAGGTTTCCCTTACCTCAGAAAACTAGGTTTGCCCTTATATATAGTAGGTAAAACTGTACCTTTGGGACTTACTGTCCATACCAACAATTTGATACTTATTAAACACAAGGAGGTATTTTCTGTATTTTTATGTTTTTTGTCCCCAACTTGTAAACATCCTAAAACAACTCTGTTCTCTCCACACCTAGCACAAAAGCTTGATGGTAACATATTTAATAACCCCACGAAGGTAGCCACTGTTCCCCTCGGAAACACGGATGGCAGGGCACGCCCCATAAAGCTCCCACCTCTCTCCACAAGAAGTCTCGGCCGCACTTTTCCACAACAGCAAGGCCCCAGTAGAGGATGTGCATGCAGAGCACCTACCCTAAATGTGATGAAAATTTCTCTTTTTCCTACAGGCATCCTCACAGTCTGGCCATCCTCAACTCCTGTGAGTGAGAACAAAAGTTCAAAAGAGAATGATTACTTGAAGGTCTCCCAAGGCATTTTCTGCTCTGAATTCAAGCCACTGAACGCCTTACTCATTCACGAGGAACACCAGTTATTCAATATGGCAACAAGTACAACTTTTCAAAGGTGTACCATACAATAATTCATAACCAAAGAAGGGCACCTTCTATTCATTAATTCAAGTTTGCTGAACACTTGCCTCTTACCAGGGCCACGTAGTGCCTCAGGGAATGTCCAGTCCAACAGTGGAGATGAATATTAATCAAATAACAACACTAATAATGTATCATTATAGAGCCATGTTCTCAGAAGGAAAAAGTCACAACTCCAGACTAACGTACATCTAAGGAACAGGAAGGGTTCCAGGTAGCTTCCCTGGGAAAGCCCATAAGAACAAAGTTAACTGCTGAAAAGGTGGTAGAAAGCAAGTTTCAGACACAGGGAACAACACACACAAAGGCTGTTCTGGGAGGCACTATGTCCTGTTCAAAGAGCTACAGCAAAGTCGAGAAGGCTGCAGGGCAGGTAACAAAGGGAAGGCTAGTAAGAGGGGAGGCTGGAGAGGCCAGCAGGGGCCAAGAGAGGAAGTCTTTTCTTGGCCCCTGAGAGTCACTGCATGGTCTTCAATGGGGCAAATGGCATGATCAGACTGCCCTGTGGAAAAAGCACCCTGGGAACAAGAGTTAGTTGGGGAGGGTAGTCACAGGCTGTGCGGTGTCCAGGAGGAGGGGTGGTGGTGCAGATTGGGCTAGCAGTGAGAACAAATGCTGGCCTTGTGGACTAAAGATGGAGATGATGGGGAAGAGTGAAAATGTCAGGTCCCTTCTCTCCAAAGTGAAATGTAAGTGTATATTTTAAGGATAACTAGTGCAAAAAAGAAAAATGCAAGGAGATTCTAGTTCCTCCTCCAGCCTGGGATTCCAGGGCTTTAACACTGGCTTTATAACAACAAAATCACAAGGAAACAATGTCCAGCTCTCAGGCCCGTGTGGAGGAGCCCAGAACTCACCTGCAGGCACAGGGATAACCACTTTCTTCTTCTGCTTGGCCTGTCCTGCTCCTCTGCATACCACACAGGGAGACGTGATGATGGTGCCTCGGCCACCACATCTCCGACATGTGGAACGCATCACAAAAGGACCTGTATTTATGGTTTCCTGATAAAAAGGAGAAGAAAAATGGAACACTTAAATAAACAGGTAAACTCTGACAGCCAAGGCTTCGGGAACACAATATAAACAATATGTTTCATTAAATACTCTTGTTCTGCTCTGGCCAGGTAGCTCAGTCAGTTAGAGCGTTATGCCAATATGCCAAGGTTGCGGGTTCGATCCCCTATCAAGGCACATACAAGAAATCAACCAATGAGCCTGGCTGGTGTGACTCAGAAGTTGAGAATTGACCCATGAACCAAGAGGTCACAGGTTCAATTCCTGGTCAGGGCACATGCCTGGGTTGTGGGCTTAATCCCCAGTAGGGGGCATGTAGGAAGCAATGGATTGATGATGTTTCTCTCTCATCAACGTTTCTCTATCCCTCTCCCTTCCTCTCTCTAAAAATCAATGAAAACAAAAATGGGGAGAAAAAAGAATCATCTACTGAATGTATAAAATAAGTGGAACAAATCAATGCTATTGTTTTTTTCTCTCACTTCCTTCCTCGCTCTAAAAAAAAAAAAGACTCATGTTCTGTGTGCATATGCACTAAAACATACTGCCTAAGAACACAGGGGCAGGTTCATGGGCTCAAACTGTTCATCTGCCCTTCTAGAACCCACTGACTTCTGAATTCCAAACCACCAAGTTGATTATATGAGACTGAAAAGTGGTATACTGTCTCCTTATAAAAGTTCCCCAAACACCTGAGAGCTGAGTAAATAAGTTTTAAGGAGTACCTCCCCTCTAATTACAAAAGTAACAGCTGAGAAAAGAGGAAAATAAAGAGGAAAATGACAAGTGAATGAAATCCTCCAGTCTGGTCACTGAGTCTGCAATTTTGCCTACTCCAAGGGAGGAGCAGTACAGGCCTCTCTGTCCCCTTAAGGCCATATAGGAGAACTGGGCTGATTCTACCCCCTCCACCCCAGGGTCCCAGCCCACCGTCCCCACCCCCTAGCATGGGTACCTGGTAGCAATGAGGCCAGCAGCTCCTCTTGTAGGCACCAGTGCTCCTCACGCTCCTCCTCCTATTATTCCCCCCCTATGTAATCCCCCAATCCTTCAGGAGCCTCCCTAGTTCCTGCCAGAGCTGGTGAAGCCTTAGGATTTGTGGCCACTCCCATCATCCCCTCACTTGGCATTTTATTTAACCTAATATTTTTGGATTTTTTTTTTTTAAATCCTCACTTGATATTTTTTCCATTGCTTTTCAGAGAGAGAGAGAGTGGAAGAGGGGGGAGAGATAGAGAGAGAAATATCAATGTGAGAGAGACACATCAATTGGTTGCCTCCTGCATGGGCCCCAACCGAGGCCAGGGATCCAGCCTACAACCGAGGTATGTACACTTGAAAGGGAATTGAACCTAAGACCCTTCAGTCGGTGGGCCGATGCTCTAACCACTAAATCAAACTGGCTAGGGCTGGAATTTTTTTTTTTTAATTATCAAATACATGTGTATCAAATACACTGCTGTGGCAAATCAAAGGACACAAATATAAAGAAAAACGTTATGCGCTGGCAGGTTTGGCTCAGTGGATAGAGCATCAGCCTGTGCACAAAAGGGTCTCAGGTTCAATTCCTGGTCAAGGGCATGTACCTGGGTTGCAGGTTTGATCCCTGGTCCCGGTTGGGACACGTGCAGGAGGCAACCAATCGATGTCTGACTCTCACATTAATATTTCCCTCTCTCTCTCCCTCCCACCCTCCTACTCTCTCTAAAAATCAATGGAAAAAATATCCTCTGGTGAGGATTAACAGAAAAGAAGAAAAAAGAAAAAAGTTATTGCCCTAGCCAGTTTGGCTCCATGGTCAGAGCGTCAGCCCTCGGACTGAAGGGTCCCAGGTTTGATTCTGGCCAAGGGCATGTACCTCGGCTGGAGGCTCAATCTCCAGTCCCGGTTGGGGTAGGTGTGGGAGGCAACCAATCGATGTCTCTCACATCGATGTTTCTCTCTCTCTCCCTTCCACTCTCTCAGAAAAGCAATGGAAAAAATATCCTCAGGTAAGGATTTAAATAAATAATAAATAAGGTTATTAATCTCCCCACCTTGACTCCCAAGGTTACCAAATCTATTAAGTTCATAGTTTGAGGTATTCTTTCTACAATTCACTCTTTCTATACAAAAAATAGTCTTTTTTAAAGTAAAAATGTTATCAGTTTATTATACATGCTGCTCTGAGACTTTCTTTTCTTTTTTTAAAAATGTTTTTATTGATTTTAGAGAGAAAGGAAGGGAGAGGAAGAGATAGAAACATCAGTGAGAGAGAACATGGACCGGTTGCCTCCTGCACACCTCCTACTGGGGATCAAGCCCACAACCCTGCATGTGCCTAGACCAGGAATTGAATCAGCGACCACTTGGTAAATGGGACGACAACACTCAATCAAGGGAGCCACACCAGCCGGGCTGATACCTTTATAAATTTATTTATTTACTTTTTTTTTGGTAAATATATCTTTATTGATTTCAGAGAGAGGAAGGGGGAAAGAGAGAGATAGAAACTTCAATGATGAGTCATTGATCGGCTGCCTCTTGCATGACCCCCACTGGGGATTGAGCCTGCAACCTGGGAATGTGCCCTGACCAGAGTTGAATGGAGTAGATCATAGGTCAATGCTCAATTGCTGAACCATGCCAGCCACACTACCTTTATTTTTTATGAGACAGATTCCCAAAGGACAAATTGCTGGGACAAATAATTACTGTATTTAAAATTTTGCATATTAGTTATTTGAAAAGCTAGTATGTGTGCATGGCATAAAATTCTCAAGTAAAAAATGGAGGTACAGTGAAAAGTTAAGAGTCTCCCCCCATTACTGACTCTTAATTATTCCAGGTATCTTCCTTGAAGGACACATTTCAAACCACCTACATGCATTACAAGCCAAAGTAACATACTATGTACATGGTTCTGCAGCTTTTGTTTTGTTTTTATAATTTAATAACCTCGGAAAGCATTTTCCATCAGTATAGTTTTCCATTACATAGATGTACCATGACTTTTCAGACAACTCACTCTTGATGGTCACTGAGGTTGTTCAGTCCTTTACTATTACACACAGGCTGCAAGGGACAACCTCTACATGTACTGTTTTACAAGTGTGGTCTGTAAGATACAATCCCACAGAGAGATGCACACATACAATTTTAATAACTACTGTAGCTTCCATTCCCAAAAGCTAGGTTGGTTTCCACTTCCACCATCAGGGCATGTGAATACTCATGTGTCCCACAGGCTTGTCAGCACAGACTGTACCAATCTTTGAAATGTATGCCAATCTGGAGGATGAGTCAGAAGCATATTCTTATTTCCACTTGCATTACCCTGAATGCTAGTGAGAAATGCTTACTGGTCCCTTGCTTTTCCTCTTCTGTTTATCTTAACCAGTTTGCCCAATGAGCTGTTGGTCTTTTCCTCATTATTCTGAAGGAGCCCTTGAATATTAGGAATATTAATCCTTTAGCAAATGTGTTGCAAATGTTTTTCCCAGTCTCAAATATTGCATTTTGAGAGAAATACACTTCAGCTTTACCATCTTACCTCATTGCTCTCTTTAGAAATGTTAAAAAAATTCACAGTAATTCAAGGACTCAGAGAAAGAACATCAGAAGTGAGAGGAAACTGGAAACAATAAAAAAGATATCTAAATCTCTGTAACAAGTGTAAGTAAGTTGGCTCACAGAACTGTACCACAGGAATCCTCATCCTCTCCAAGAGCGCCCTCTCTCAGAGGAATGCAAGCTTACCACAACTTTATTATTAATTTCAAAGGGAAAATAACTTTATATGGAGAAACCTCATAAACACTACCTTACCTGATTGTGATCCACTGTAACATCGCTAATGGGACAAACTGACACTTCATGACTCTTGACATGATCCACTGAAAAGGGCACTATATCTCTGAGGTATGAACCCAAAATGAGAGAAATCCTACAAAATAGCTGTTTTGTAATCCTAAAAAAATGTCAAGGTCATAAAAGAAAAAGAGGCTAAGAAACTGTTTCAGATTAAAGGACACAAAAGATAAGACAAGCAAGTGCTATGCAAGATCCTGGTTTGGATCCTGAACCAGGGAAAAGTAGGACATTCTAAGGACACTTGAATTAATTTAAATGCTATACAGATAATGGTATTATATCAACATTAAATTTCTTGATTTTGACAACTGTATTGTGGTTATGTAAAAGAACGTTGTTGTTCTTAGAAAACACACACTGAAGTATGCAGGAATAAAGAAATAGAATATTTGCAACTTACTTGCAAATGGTTGGGGGAATGTGTATGTGCGCGTGCACATACAAACAGAATACATACATAGGGAGGAAGAGGGTGAGGCAATGAGCATACCAAAAATGACAGAGCAAATAGGGCAAAATGTTAACAACTGGTGAAGCTGAGTAAAAGGAATACGAGAGTGGTTCTTTATACTATTCTATAAATTTGAATTACATCAAGTTACCAAAAAGAAAAAATGATTACACTTCAAGCAAAGTGTCCCCTGACAACCACCAGTTGGATTCAAATTACCAAAATATCTCAAAGTGTATTTTTAGAGAAGGCAGCTAAGTTTCTTTGTTCTGTCTGTGTTGTTGACCAAGAGAGAGCATACCTGGAAAAATCCAAAAGGTTCTAGATAAAATAGTCCCACCTTGTTATGAATTCTCAAAGCCCTAGGTACTACTGAAAAAAGTATCCACAAAAGCATAGAAAAAAGGAATGGTAGGAAGTGTGGATGGGCATGAGGTGGGAGTTCCCAGGAAGGTGGGAAGTGAGGCGGGTGAGGGGACAGCTCTAACTCCTCTTACCATGCCAGAGCCACCGCAGTAGTGGCAGTGCTGCACCTTGGTGCCGGGCTCATTCCCTTTGCCATTGCACCGCTCACAGGTATCGGTGATGTTCACAGTGAACTCCTTGTTGACACCCTTGGCAGCTTGATTGAATGTCAAATCCATGATGTACTAGAGAAATCAAGGGATGGCCTGTCATCTTTCTTAAAGTAGGGAAGGGTGCTAGCCAGCAGTTTACACTTACTTTACTTTTAAAGGCTTTACTTTTTAGAGCAGTTTTGGTTTACAACAAAATTGAGAGGGAGGTATAGAAATTTCCCACATACATTCTACCCCCACCCATGTACAGTCTCTCCCATCATCATCACTCACCAGAGTGGTACATTTTTTTTATCAAGGATAAACCTACACATCATAATCATCCAAAGCCCAGTTTACTCTTGGTGCTATACGTTCTATGGGTCTAGACAAATGCATGACAGGCATACATCATTATAAGAGCATACAGAGTATTTTCACTGCCCTAAAAATCCTCTGTGCTTTGCCTGTTCGTTTCTTCCCTCCCTGGTTACTTTACTTTGTAACTGCTATACTTACCTGTACTCTGCCAAGTAAGAATAGATGGGACATACTTTTCTGTTTATGCCCTGCTCCTTAGGATTTTTAAGAGGTAATGTTTATGTAAAAATGTCTTTTTCAACAAACTGTTCACAGATAATACTTGTATATAGTCCTTAGAAACAGCTCGAATGATACACAATCATAACTTAAATCATAAACATTCCCCGTCTCTCTTCAACTCTGACAATGTCTATTAGAACATAAATATGGAAGAAGTAGGATTGGGAGTGTTTCCCTACTAGATTGAGCTCTCCTGGAATAATGTAGCAGCTCTAGATAAAAGACACCCTAACAATGGACTCTGAGAGCCTTAGGTTCTGCCTGGTTAAGCAACTGTAAGACTCAAGTCAAAATAGATGTACACATTACCTATGATTTTTCCAATTTTGGAATTATTTCTTACCAAAATGGCTGCCTCCTTAAATCATTTCATTTAAGCTGCTTTGCTTTATTCTTTGAGAAACAGAAATTGATAAAATTTGTTTGCATCACAGTTAGAAGCTAAAATTTGAATAGTTTTTCAAAATAAGCTTACCTCCTGAGGCTGACTGAATACACTCTGGAAATCTCCAAAAGAAGATGATGAGAACTCCCCAAAGATCTTCCTGAAGAGTTCCTCTGGGTCCACGGTGGGGCCTCCTTTCCAGTAGCTCTGCCCAGAGCCACCAGCCCCAGGATCAAAGCCAGTGGAGCCATAGGCATCATATTGTTTCCTCTTCACTTCATCACTCAGCACCTTCCACAAAAGGCACAGCAGTTAGGCGTTCCCGGTCTTCTGAGACCCAGGGACAGACACCAAGTACAGACAATGACACTGTATCAACATTAAATGTTCTGATTTTTACAATTGTACTGTAGTTATGAGAAAGAATGTTCTTATTCTTAGAAAATATAGGAATACTTAGGAATAAAGAGATACAAAGTTGGTGACTTACTCTCAAAAGGTTGGGGGCAAATGTACACATACAGAGAGCAGATATATGATATCCTATATATCCTGAATCCCTTTGGCATGGCCAGAGTATGGAAGAAGGTCCACTTTTAAATAACTCTGGAACTGTTCAGTAGATTCATGTGTGTTCCATCCCTCTGATTACATTTTAAATTCCTCCAGGGCAGCCTGGCCGGCATGGCTCAGTGGTTGAGCATTGACCTATGAACCAGGAGGTCAAGGTTTGATTCCTGATCAGGGCACATGCCCGGGTTGCAGGCTCAATCCCTAGTAAGGGGCGTGCAGGAGGCAGCCAATCAATGACTCTCATCATTGATGTTTCTCTCTCTCCCCCTGCTTTGCCTTCCTCTCTGAAATCAATGATTAAAAAAATAAAATAAAAATTCCTCCAGGGCAGTGGTGGTCTTCTACTTTTACAGGATCCACCAACCCCATTAGAGAGCAATGCCCTAAGTAGGAGGGAGTGATCAAATAGGTGTGGAATCCAACAAGGTTTCCCAGACCCAGCTATAAGTCCAAGCTCTGTTAATACAGACTGGGCCCTCTTTTCCATTGAGATTCCAAGAAAGATCTAGCATGAGACCTGGGAATCTCTTTTTTCTTTAACAAGATGATCTGGTGTGGGGACACAGCATTCATACTGGACCTTATGACACGTCAGGTTACCCTGTGCAGCACACTCCGATGCGTGCATGCAGCTGAATGACAGTGACTTGCACACACCAGTGGGTTGCATTACCTCATAAGCTTCTGCAAGCTGGGAGAACTTCTCCTTGGCTTTGGGATCATCCTTATTTGTGTCTGGGTGATATTTCTTGGCAAGCTATGGGAGGAAATGATAAATTACTATGGACACAAAATGATTACTAAAACCAAACACCAAATACCAGTCACAATTTTACCTCCTTTAGAGCAGTTGTCTAAGACTTTACAAACAATAGCAATAAAACAAGGTTTAAGACATCAAAATAAATCATGTCCTCAAATCTGAGGTCTGTACACATTTTTCAACCACAACATATCTCTACCAAAAATAACGAATTCTTTAGAACTTGGGCAGCTCTGTGAAAGATATAAACTAGTGTATCTGGTACACTTTCATCTATGTAAAAAGAAAGGAAAATAAGTGGATGGATATAAATTATTTTTGGAAGAACATACAATAAACTGATAGCACTGCTACAGGAGGGATATGGATGAATGAAAAAGAGGAAGACCCTTTATTGTATACTACCTTGTATTTTTTGAATTCTGAATGAGGGGAATATATTACTATTCAAAACATAAATTTAAATATTAAAAACAAAACTGAATCTCACTTGGCTGTCCAGAGCATATAGGTGTGCTGAGCAGCTCTAAAATGAAGGCTACCAGCCGGGTGGGCGTGACTCAGTGGTTGAGCATCGACCTAGGATCCAGGTGATCAGGGTTCAATTCCCGGTCAGGACACATGCCCGGGTTGCGGGCTTGATCCCCAGTTGAGGACGTGCAGGAGGTAGCCAACCAATGACTCTCTCATCATTGATGTTTCTATCTCTCTCTCTCTCCCTCTCCTTTCCTCTCTCTGAAATCTATAAAGTTATATTAAAAATAATAATAAAATAATAAAAAATAAAAGTAAATAAAATGAAGGCTACCTTCTGGTTATGCTGAGTAGTGCTGTGTGCTTTGTAGGTGTTCACCATTGTTTGCTGGATTCCTGAGCGTTCCAAGTCTGGATTGTCACAGGTCCCTTATGTGAGGGCAAGGAGGTGCAGAGAAGCAAAATCTTAAAGCTGACAGTGACTAGCTGAGAGTGACTAGTGAGGCCATCTGGCTCTGTTGCTGCCAGCAGCTGGCTGCTTAATCTGCTTCTGGAGATGCTGGTCCTCACACCAGTATATGGAAGCATGTCAGAGGCTGCGAGCTAAGCTCTGAAGTGGGAGGAGAGGGGGTTCTCAAGCATGGCCAATATATTACAATGGGCTACAAGGCAAGTCTGGTTCCAACTCCAAGGCAAGATATGTCTGTATATTCACTGGTCCCAAACTCCAAGATAAGATATGCTGAACACATGAGATCAGTACAAGGAAAAGAGAGAGGCCTTTTACAGTCAGAAAGATCTGTATTTTAGTCTCACATATGCCACGTATTAGCAGCCTTGGATGTGTGTCATAACCTCACCAAGCCTCTTACCATGAGGATTAAATGTAACACATACAAAGCTTTAACAAGATCTGAGTCCAGTAACTGCTCCACAAAGGCACTTTTAAAAATTTCCAGTTTTAAATCACAAAGCTTTAACTGATCTTTTTATTTCCAAAACTAAAACCTTAAATGGCTCTCTCTTTTTTTTAATCCTCACTTGAGAATATTTTTTCCATTGCTTTTCAGAAAGAGTAGAAGGGGGAGAGAGAGAGAAAGAAAACATCAATGTGAGAGAGACGCATCAATTGGTGGCCTCCTGCACAAGGGATCAAATCGAGGTACGTACCCATGGGCAGAATCAAACCCAGGGCCCTTCAGTAAACAGGCCAACGCTCTAACCACTGAGCCAAACCAGGTAGGGAACCAACTCTCTTTTAAATTAAATCTTTAGCACTTGCTAAGGGTCTCAAGTGCCCCATTAATTTGTCCACAGCCTCCATCTTGTCAAGAGTCTCCCACCTTTGCATCAGGCACCTTACCCTCCAGCTCAAAAGAGACATGCTATTCATTCTCCCAAGCCAGGATCTCTGTTCTCTTCCCTCGTGCCTTTGCCCATCCCATTACAACCCAGTAAATAAAAAGATTAAGTCAAAAAAATGGGCAAAGGGTCTGAATAACATTTACAACAAATGGCTGATAATCACATGAAAAGATGCTCCACATCATTAGCCACCAGGGAAAAGCAGATCAAAAACCACACTGAAGCCTGGCCGGTGTAGCTCAGTAGTTGTGCACTGACCCATGAACCAGGAGATCATGGTCCGATTCCCAGTCAGGGTACATGCCTGGGTTGCGGGCTTGATCCCCAGTAGGAGGCGTGTAGGAGGCAGCTGATCAATAACTCTCTCTCATCATTGATGTTTCTATCTCTCCCTCTTTCTTCCTCTCTCTGAAATCAATAAAAACATATTTTTAAAATAAATGAATAAATAAGTAAACACACTGAAAACACCACTTCACACCCACTAGTGCGGCTAGAATAAAAAAGAGTGTTGGCCAGGATGTGGAGAAACTGGAATCCTTATACACTGCTGGCGGGAATGTACAATGGTGCATCCACTTTGGAAAACAGTCTAGCAGTTCTTCGAAAAATTAAACACAGAATTATCATTTGACTCAGCAATTCTACCCGTGTGTGTGTGTGTGTGTGTGTGTGTGTGTACACCCAAGAGGAATGAAAACATATGTCTACACAAAAATTATACATGGATGTTCACAGCACTACTATTCCTAAGAGCAAAAAAGTGGAAACAACCCAAATATCCATCAACTGATGAATGAATAAATAAAATGTAGCATATCCATGTGATAGAGTATTATTTGACCATTAGAAGGAATGAAGTATTGATACATGCTACAACATGGATGAACCTTGAAAACATGCTAAAGTAAAAGACGACAGTCATTAAAGGCTATATATTGTATGATTTCATTTCTAAGAAATGTCTGGACTAGGCAAATATATAGAGATAGAAAGCAGATTTTTCTTTTTTCCCCAAAATTAAACTCTTTAAAAAAAATTTTTTTTAAATATATCTTTATTGATTTCAGAGAGAGGAAGGGAGAGAGAGAAACATCAATGATGAGAGTGTCATTTATCAGCTGCCTTCTGCATGCCCCCTACTGGGAATCGAGCCCACAATTCAGGCATGTGCTGTGTCTGGGAATCCAACAGTAATCTCTTGGATCATAGGTCAATGCTCAACTGCTGAGCCACAATGGCCAAGCTGGGGTTTCTTTTTGAATTGAAAATGTTCTAAAATTGATTATGATGATGACTATACAACTCTAAATATACTAAAAACCAGTGTCCTGTACACTTTAAAAAAAGTAAGAGGAGGAAGTAGCCATCCAAGCCATAAGCTGTTAGGTCTGGTTTGTTCAGTACTTTGTTCACAAATACTGGCCTTGGACAAAGTTTTTGCTTACCCACATTTTTTTTTTTTTTTTTAATTTAAACAATCTTGTAGTAAATTTTTCATAAAGGTGATTTATTTTTGCATTTAATTCATATTTAATTTAAAGATCTGTTCTTTATTCTGATATTATGGCTTTCCTATTTTTATGGTGTTTAGATGCTCTTTTACCAATGACATTAATGGACTGTGCTTGTTATTTTTAACATTTATATTAGGTAAAATACAAAAGCTGGCAATCCTACACTGGTGCCATTTTTTATTTTAATTTTAATTTTTGATCAGAGCAAATATCTGGGAACCACTGGTCTAGATAACACACATGCCACTTTACCAATTAGCCCTAATACATTCTGGGATATAATGATGGGAATTTCACACTTTCTGAGTTAAGAAAAAAATAATTCTAAGTCCATATACTTTTATCTTAATACAAAGAATGACTACCTAAAACTTAAACCAGCATGCCTACTGATTCAGCCAGTGCAGAATAAATTTAAGTACAAAAACAGCTGTAGAAAAAGATTTTTTTAATCTCTGGTTCTGTCTCCTCTTTTCTGAAGCATTAATGGGTACAACATCATGCACTGAAAAGCACAGTCCAACAAAGTCCATCTTTATCATCTCATTCTATACTATCAGCTGCCTGTGTCCTATACGTATGGGCATACACACACTGCACTGATCAGTATTAGACTAGATCAATAGTATTCCTTCTACAATCTTGTCCATACAGACCTGGTAATAGGCTTTCTTGATCTCTTTCTGGCTGGCATTTCGGGGCACTCCTAATATCTGGTAATAATCCTCTTTGGCCAAAGGGGTGCTCGTGTGGAAAGAGGCAGTACAAACAAAAGGGTAACTTTTTACTCCTAAAAAAGAAAAAAGGAAAGAAAATCACTCTGGGAATATGCTCAACAAAAGGAAACTGTGAGTAAACTAGCCCCGTTATACCTGTGAAGTAGCAAATAGATCACAACTTTAGGGCCTATTCTCCTCCAAGCCCAACGGAGACCAAGCTCATTGCACTTCAAAAATGGCTAAGGCCACTGTATACGAAGAATATAAAACAGGTCAATATAAAACTGGGGAGACGGGCTGATCCTGCTGGATTAAACTACCGATGTAGCCTCATTAAACTACCAAACAAACCGTACCCCAGATGGGGACTGCACCTGGAGATGATTAAAAAGGGACTTAGGTCCCATTACACTGCTTGAGAACCGACCACATGCCAGGTATTTTCATACACTTTGTGTTACTTAATGCTTAACAACTCCCCAAGTTCTTTCCCTCTACCAGGCAATCTTGGATATCTGCTTTAGAGGATGGGGTGGTGCTCAGAGTGTGGTCCCTGGACCAGCAGCATCAGCCAGTTAGATATGCAAACTTTCAGGCCCCACCCCAGACCAGAATCAGAAACTATGAAGGTGGGGCCCAGCAGGCCCTGTTGAACAAGCCCTCCAGATGATGATCCCGTTGAATGCTCAAGTGTGGGAACCACTGTGTTAACAAAATGGTTCTCAGTCTTTAGAGTCACACGTCTCTCAAGGAATCTGATAAAAGCATTGACCCCCTCTTCTCCTAAAAACAGTACATATATATAGACACACAAGATTAAAAGGCCCTGTGCCAGAACCTCTGTTTACCACAGAGCAGACAACCTGAAAGCAATCAAAGGCAGGTGGCCATATGCCCTGCCTCCTTTCAGGCCTCTTGCATCAGCAGCTAGGAGGAAAGACCAACAGACACACCTACTCAACTGCCCTTTGTGCACGAAGCAGAGTGCTAACTTCACTGTCACAAAGTGAAGCCAGGGGAGCTGATCTACAATTTCCAGTGCTGCCTCCTAATGCCCAACCCATCCTGTGAGAACTGGGAGAAAGGGGGGCCAAAGTTGAGGGGGAGGCAAGTTAAGTCAGAAGGAAGAGGAAGGTTAAGAAAAAGAATGAGGATCATGAGGCAGCTACAGGTTTTTAAGTCAAACGTTTGCCTGTAGAGGAGGAGTTTCTGTATTCACCATTCATTCAGCAAATACTTACAAATATTTGCCATTTATTCATTCAGCAAATACTCAATGAGCACCTACCAGACACTGGGCTTCACGCTGGGGATATGACAGCAAGACATTCAAAGGCACTGCCCTCCCAGAGCTTAATTTATTCAAGATCTTAACACTGTACTAGGCACTGAGAATACAAGATGAGTAAGAGTCAAAGCCAATGACTCCAAGGAATTCGGCAGTCCCACAGGGGAGTCTGGAAGGCAGTGTGTGAAGATATATTAGCACGCAGACAAGCAGTGAAAATACACAAAAGGGTAACTGAAACAGGGTTTCTTAACCTCCCCACAGTAGAGGATGGGATCAATTTCTGAAGGGCAGGGAAGTAGTAACTGTCCTATTGTTATAGGCCAAAATGTGAGCTCCACCTCCAAATTCCTAAATTGGAGTCCTAACGTCCAGCACCTCAGAAGGTGACTGAATTTGGTGATAGGATCTTTGAAACAATCCTGACAAAACACTGACCTTGGACTTCTAGCCTCCAGAACTAGAAAAAAAAGAAAATAAGTTTCTGTTGTTTAAGGCACCCAGTTAATGGTACTTTGTTATGGCAGCCTTAGCAAATTAATATACCTAGTATGTATTATAGAATGTTTTACAGCACCTGGTCAACTAGTTACCAGTAGCATCACCCACCCCTTCTCCCACCCTAAAGTTGGCAACTAAAAACGTTTCCAGACATTACTAAACACCCCTTGGAGGGTAAAAATCAAAATCGCCCCACTGGCAACACCATCTAAGAAGTTCAGGGAAGGTCTTCTAAGGCTCCTGCTGTTAAACTATAGACTAAGGAGGAGTTTAAATCCATCCAGATTTACACGGGTCATCCTGACATTATTTGCAACAGCATGCACTTTTACTTTCAAAGGTGCCCTGATGGTGACTAAATCATATGATCACCTTTGGTTTAGATGGAGTGGTTCATTCCTGTGCATTTAGGAACTGGAGGTACTATACTAGACTGAAGACTGTGTGTGTGCAAGTGCATGCTCCAGCCTGTGTGTTGTGGTTGTGGTGATGGCAGAGGGGTGGTTAGAGATGATGATTAACGAGGTCTAGAAATAAACAGAAGGGCCTTTGAGCTATGTTAAGAGTATGGCTTTTATACTGAGGGCAAGAGGAAGCCACTCCAAGTGATCAGGTTTGCATGAAGAAGAGCTGTCAAACAAACAAACAAGGAGGATTGGGACACTACTTAAAATTAATCTGAGCACAAAAGACAATCAGGGTGTTAAGCATATGGAGGAAGGGGGAAAGATAAGGGATAGCCTTAGTTGGGTGTCTCCAAAAAGCATCAATGATTAGCAATAATTAGGAAGAGTTCACTTATTAGGCAGATTTTCCCCAAGATATGACCAATAAATATCTGGCCCTTTTTAGAATAACCCAGGATTAGCCTCCAGCCAGCACAATGTCAAACAACTGCCTTCTTTCTGTGCTTGGGAGAAAAGCTGAATTTAAAGTGTGGTTTTTATGTCACTTAATTATACTACTTGATTTGAGATGAGATCACAGAACAGTATTTGGGAGCTAAGTTGATGACTTCAGAGTGCACCTTGAAGGATGCTACCTCTCACCTGATACAAACCATGCCCATCTTGGGCTATGGGCTCTCTTGGGAGAAAAGGATAGCTGACTGCAGTTCCTTAGTACTGGCCGCATACAAGGCTCAGTACTTAATGCTTGTCTTTCTCTCACACACACACAGTAGTTATTAAAAATGCTCCCCAAACTTGTTCAAATGTAATATGGACAAAGTTAGCTAGACATTAGAAAATGTTAGCAAAAGCTAAAAATGACCATTTTTGCTCATACTGAGAAACACAGAATGACATCACCCCAAGTAATCCTGTGGAAACTTGAGCAGACTACTGCCCCACCCGAGGAAATACAGGTGGAAGAAACAAAATAAAATGGGATCACTTGACCAAAATCACAGCCAATCTCATATCCCCAGTACCTAGAACAGTGGTTATGGCATATGACAGACTAAGTATATGACAGACTAAGTATTTGGGAGCTAAGTAGTGTGAATGAGTAAAATGTCACAGTTAAGGAAAGAGGCTCAAAGGGATTAAATAATTCACTCACACACACACTGGTGGAGGTGAGTTTGCTCACTGTACAAAGTAATCACAATTACTAATACTTTAATGACAGCATTACAAAACTGGAACCCAATAGGAAATTATCTTGTCAGGACCCTTTAATTAATCACCTTTGTAAGATTACAGATAGCTTAAATATCTTGCACAAATTCTAGGGGACAGAAACAACTAGCACAATTCAGGCATTATCCTTGATCAATGACTCCTCCTTCCTTCTCTCATGATAATGGAAGCCATCCAACACACGACATGAAAAATTATCATGGCTAAGCACCTAAAGGTTTAATAAATATTAATTCACTATTACCCAGGCTATGAAGTAAGCAGCAGGTTTTGAATCAAGATTTTACCACTTTTTACCTTTGTGACAATCTACAAATTGTTTAACATCTAAGTCTCAGTTTTTAAATCTACAAAAGGGAATAACAGTGTCTATCACATGGAAATGTCCATGCCTGGTACATAGTGTTCAATAAATGTTTGTATTTTTATTACACTTACCAACTTAAGGACTTCTAAAATAGGCTATTCAGTGTAACCTTCAACTTACACCACGTAGTGGAAAGTGTGAAAGCTATGAAAGTACAGCTCTAGGTTTGGGAAAACTCTTCTTAATCTAACTTTATGGCCTGGGGCAGGGCAGTTCCTCTGCTAAAACCTCAAGTTCCCAATCTTTAAAACAGGGATGACAATTCCCACCTTGTAGGGTTGTTACCGTGAATCGAGATGAGGTACAAAGTGCCTAGCACAAGAGCAGATGCTCATCGAATGGCAATGACCTCTTCCCTTCCGCTACAGGCTAGAAGGTGTAGCGAAGAGAAAGGAATAGGGATAGGGATAGGAAGCAGCGGCAGGCCGGAGAGGCCTCCAGAAATATTGACACAGAGGTGAAGGTTCAGGGCCTACGGGAAGTTTCACCCCCGCCGCCGGGAGCTCCATGCAGCAATTCCTCCTTCACCGCTTCTGGGTAGTCACTGGGGCCTCTGTGCCTCCTGCTTGCCCGTCTCCCCAAGCAATTCTCCACACACGTCGGAAAACACCCTTCACTCCGCTACTCCCGTAGCTGGAGCGAGGTGAGTCACTCCCTTCCAGGCCTTGGAGCCCCGACTCGGGCGCCGAAGCCTACCCTCACCTGTGAGGCTGACACCAGGTCTCAATGTCAGTGGCGCCCCTGGGCCGCGAGCTCCCAGGGAAGGCGCGCAGGCAGTAATGCTCAGCTTGCGGCCCAGCGACGCCCCCACCACGCCCCCCCTGAGCGGCCGGGCCCCTGTCCCCGCTGCTGCCGGCGGCCGAGGGATCCCCACTGCCACCAGCAACCAGCGTGTGGAACACCGCGCCGCCATCTTGGCCGGGGGACACTGCGCCTGCGCCACTCGTCTTAAGGAGGCCTCGCGAGGACACCTCCTGCGCGCAGCGCCGGCGCGTCCGGAAGTGGGTGGAGGCGGGGGCCGGCTACGCGCGCGCGCATGAACACAAGCGTTGCGCACGCGCAGCGGCACCTCATGCACTTTCGTGGGAGCCAACGCTGAAATGAGGTTTGCTGTGAAGAGTACTAGCAGATAGAGTTGCCCGGGAGAACCTCTTAGTTATGTGCTGGACGATCACGACTGCACCTTATCTGAGTAAGGACGTGGTTGAGTGTAGCTGAATCTAACTGGTTTGAGGTGTCCTGGCGTGTCCAAGCGGCGTTTGTCGCAGATCCCAGCATGCAGTGCCGGACTTCCCTCCTCTTGACCCTGACAGCTTCTTGCGTGAGCGTTACTCAAGCCGGTGTCTGCACAAGGGGGCGGCGTCTCTATTCCCAAAGCTTGTCGTCAGGCTCACTTTCTCTGGCTGATTTCCCACGCGGCGGACTTCGGTCGCTCAGGTCTCTCCTAAGCACGTTGGTCCCCAAACCTGTAGTGAACTTGCCGGTCGCGGAGTAAGAGCCAAGCTCCCCCAAAACTAATTTAATAAACTTGATGATCTGCTTGTCACGCATGTACTAGAATATTGGGGATATGATGGGGAATGACATACCATCCCTGCGCAGGAGGCACACAACGATGAATCGAGAGAGACAGGCTCTTCAGCAACTAACATAACGTGATCATTGCAATCTAGTATGTAATAGGTTGCAGGCACACAGGTGAAGGGGTTTCTCGGGGGTTGAGGGGTTGGGGGTGTCAGGGAAGGCATCTGGGAGGTAACATTACAGTAATAGGAAGTGGGTCAGGTAGGCGTGGTGGAGAATAGTATTCCAAGTAGCAAGAAGTTCAAAAGCAGATGTCTAGAGATGGAAAGTGCTTGCCCTGTTTGCTTAAGCCCTAACCTTAGGGTGTGGGGCTGGAGATGAGGCCAGAAAGGTAAACCTTGCCTGGTAAGTCTTGCAAAGGAGTTTTAGCTTTCACACTCGCACCACCACCACAAATAATAGAAAGTGAACCTGAGGGTTCATCGATGGTTTTAAGATGATCTGTTCTCTTTGGCCCTCTCCCCATTGTACACTAAATTTTTGTGTATGTTATGTTAATCCATAGCTTTCATCAATAGAATTCTCCGCAGGCTCTGAGATTCAAAGTAGTTTAAAAACCACTGGCCCAGGGGCTGGCTGGATAGCTCAGGTTGTTAGAGTGTCCTCTGGACCCAGCAAGGTTGCAGGTTTGATCCCCAGTCAGGGCACATATAAGAAATCAAGCAATGAATTCATAAATAAGTGGAACAAGTCAATGTTTCTCTCTCTCTAAAACCAATAAAAAAAATAAGTAGTTTAGCCCGGCCGGGCATGGCTCAGCGGTTGAGCATCGACCTGGGATCCAGGCGATCAGGGTTCGGTTCCTGGTCACGGCACATGCCCTGTTGCGGGCTTGATCAATGACTCTCTCAACATTGATGTTTCTATCTCTCTCTCCCTCTCCTTTCCTCTCTCTGAAATCAATAAAGATATATTTAAAAAAAAAAAAAGTAGTTTAAAACACACACACACTGGCCCAGTGAAGAACAGTTACAAAGCTATTGTAACATGCAAGGAGAGTTTGGGCTAGGGAACATAGAGCACTGAGGTGAGCAAGGAACATTTTAGAGAAAAAAGGAAAAGGGTCATGGGGTGGAAAATGGGTAAAAGAGCTCTTTCAGTATATTCAACCAATATTTAAATGTTTCCAGCATAGTGGTTAAGAGTATGGGCTCTGGAGTCAGACTGGCTTGGACTGAATCCCAGCTCTGCCACTTACCAGCTGGGTGTCCACGGGCAACTTATTTTATCTCTATGCTAAAAAGGGGATATAACAGTACCTCAAAGGATCATCTGAAGAGTGAGATAACCATGTGAAAGCTTCATATAGTACTTGACACATAGTAAATGCTCAACATATGTTAGTCCTATGTGCCAGGCTCTGTGCTAAGCACTGAGAATACCAAGCAGAACTCAGACCACAGTTACTTCCCACAGGGAGCCCAAAACCTAGGGGGAAAGAGTGGGGGTGGGGGGTGTTGGTTGAGAAGTGCAACTTTCAGGAATAAAAGCTGAGAACAAGGCAAAGGGACTTGCATTTACCGCCTCAGAGTGAGAGGAACTAGAGGAGAGCTCACCAATATGAAAACTGTCAGTTTTGAAACTTCCTCATTTTTTTTGTATTTTGTTTCCCCCTCCCCCACCTATTTCCCCATGGTGATTTTGATTTTGATTTTTATCAATTACAGTTGACATTCAGTATTATTTTATATTAATTTCAGGTGTACAGTCCCCATAGTTATTAACAGTAAAAATCCTTCACATTGAAAAGGGAGTGTGTGTTCTTGTTTTAGGGGATAGCAGGAAAGCTGATTATTCTTTGCTTTTAGGAAGGAGAGAACCCCAAGGGAATGGAGTGGATGATGGTGGCTACTAATGGACCCATCCCAAGCTTGTAGGCAAAAACTGGAATGTGCACACAGGCCACACCTACCCACACTCCCAGGCGTGTGCCTCTCCCTTCCCCCACCCCATTCTCCAGTCTAAAGCTAAAAATTTTAAGGAAAAACAAATATTTGCAAAAGACACACAGGTTTCTCAAGCGTCTCCCCCCTCTGCACTTATTTTGTTTTGTTTTTAATCCTCACCCGAGGATGTTTTTTCCATTGCTTTTCAGAGAGTGGAAAGGGGAGAGAGACAGACAGGCAGACATTGATGTGAATCAATTGGTTGCATCCCACATGCCCTGACCAGGGGATCAAGCCTGTAACCAAGGTATGTGCCCTTGACCAGAATTGAACCTGAGACCCTTCAGTCCAGAGGCCCACGCTCTGAGTCAAACTGGCTAGGGCTCCCCCTCTGCACTTTTCATTTTAATGTTCCACTGGACCCTTGCTGCTCTCCTGAGGTAGTGAGATCTGTGAGAGCTAGTAGGAAGTTTTAAGCATGCTCTACCCTGTAATATCCTGCAGATACTGCCCATCCAAGGTACAATGGGACTGGCCAAGTCCATGGCTAACCGTGGGAAGGCTGTGCTCCCCTCCCCATGTGAGGAGCCCTTTCAGGGAGAGCCGAAGGTTCTCAGCCAGTCTCTTGAGAAGCAATAAAAGCTAGCTCACAATTTCTCTAGTTGTAGAATTTCCTTTCCTCCCTAAGATAGTATGGGTTGATTCCAAGGGGGTGTGAAATGTGTAGCACAGATGTTCCTGGACATAACATCTGCAGTGTCTGCAGTTCCCTGCAGAAGAAGGAGATGAACTATCCTCTCCTCAGTTGCCTGAGTTTTCTGTGCTAATGATTTCCTAAAAGGTCCTTTACCAAACAGGTGGCTCTAGCTTGAAGCTAAATATTATTCTGCCCAAACTAGGCTTGAACTTAATGCTTTGCAAAACTGAAAAATGAAAGGAACTTTTTTCAAGGGGAAAAAAAAAAATCAGAGATGCCGAGAATAACTCTCTGGATCCTCTGGCAATCAGTAGATTCCAATGTGAAAAACATCACCATAGAAAAGGATGGTCTTTTATATGAAACTGCCCTTTAGTTGTGAATTATCATTTTGCATTTCTGTTAAAATATTTTGCAAGTTACTGCAGAAAAATCAAAACAGCTCTGGCTGGGTGGCTCGGTTTGTTTGGTGTCCCGTACACTAAAAAGTTGCGGGTTCGATCTCCAGTTGGGGCGCATATGAGAGGCAACTGATCCATTTCTCACATTGATGTTTCTCTCTCTCTTTCTCTCTAAAATCAATTAAAAACCAATATCCTGAGTTAAGATTAAAAACAAAATAGCCCGGCCAGGCGTGGCACAGCAGTTGAGCACCGGCCTAGGATCCAGGAGATTGCGGTTTGATTCCTGGTCAGGGCACATGCCTGGGTTTCTGGCTTAGTTCCCAGAGAGAGTCATGCAGGAGGCAGCCAATCAATGATGACTCTGTCATTGATGTTTCTATCTCTCTTTCCCTCTCCCTTCCTCTTTCTGATGTCAATAAAGATATATTTATAAAAATTAAAATAAAAACAATTTAAAAGACCACTAAGTGTAGTAAAACTTCAGATCCCCAAGAACACATGGGTACACCTCCATTTGAGGAACAACAAAGCCATGTTGGCAAGGGAGAATTATGCGTGTTTTCCCCAATTTTTGAAATGTATTTTGTTGCATAGTTGTTTCCTGTGCCGAGATAACTGCACATGCCTTTCTGTTCCAGCTCATGAAATGAACAAGGCAGGGCTTACCTATAAAAATGTTTTCAATGTGCATCTTAACAAACAACCATTTCAGGGGCAGATAACTAAATCTAAGGAAATTGTTGTTGGCATCAAAGCTGGCTTCATCCATCCCTCTCTTGCAAAAATTCTGATCTGTGGAAACCACGGACTTGAGAGAAGATTAAGGGAACATCCTACATAAAATGTCTTTTCTTTGGTGTCATAGTTTTGTTTTGTTTTGTTTTATCCTTACCCAAGGATATGTTTTTCTAATTGATTGTTAGAGAGAGAGGAAGGGAGAGAGGGAGAGAGAGAGAAAGAGAGAGAAAGATCACTATGAGAGAGAAACATATTGGTTGCCTCCCGCATGTGCTCCAGAAAGCTAGGCATGTACCCTGACTGGGAATTGAACCCACAACCTTTTGGTGTATGGGATGACATCCCAACCAAGCCACCTGGCCAGGGCTGGTGTCTGTCACCTTGTAAGTGGCCACTCCATCTTTACACTTTGATTCTTTTGTGTGGGTTTTTGCCCTCTTCTTCCTTGCCAGTCTTTTTTTTTTTTTTATCCCAACCCCTTGACGCCCTGCATCTTGCTGGTCATTTTTAAAATATGTTTTAGGGTTTTTTTGTTTTTTTAATTGACTTTAAAGAGAAAGTAAGGGAGAGGGATAGAAACATCCATCCTGCACATCCCCTACTGGGGATCAAGCCTGCAACCCAGGCATGTGCCCTGATAGGGAATGGAACTGGTGACCTCCTGGTTCATGGGG